TCAGTCAACGGGTATGTCAACGGCTGCTGCGAAGCCCTCAGCATTAGCAGCCAAACTGACGAACAAGTTCATTCCTGTGCAGCAAAAGCCGACGCGAACAAAGCCAAATGGAGAGGGGGAATATCAGGTGAGTTTTCGCATAGTTTCGGCTCGAATTTCATCCTACCATACCACATTTATTACGCTCGAGTTGGGGCAAACAAAGAGAGAATATGTCTGATTTCACACCAAACCCATAGGAACTCTTTCACTCAGCAATTCCATCTTCATTTCTTCTCTCATCGAAATATGTCAATCCACCGCTTATCTAATCACGGCGCTTGTCGTGAAAGCTAGCAGAACTTTCGCGCGTGCAGTTTGGGGTTTTGATTTGGAGAAACAGAACGTTTTTGTTTTGTGAAACTTTTTCTTTTATGTTAGCATATGACACAATTATATGAGTGAAGATAGACAAAGTAGGATTGAGAAGAAATAGCGCTGTCCAACTCATAACCAAGTTGCCATTTTGAATTTGTGGAAACTATCCGACATGATTTAACGTAGATAAATGTGATAATATTCAATTTTTGTTGAACCCATATCATTGTGGAATAATATCTTGATTTAACAGCATAAATCCTCAGTTAACTGAAATTTTTCAGTTGATAAAAAACGAGGTCCTTGTATCACCGTACGGCAATCAATATGAGGTGCTGGAGTTCCTTGGAAAAGGAACTTTTGGACAGGTGAGTCACTTTTTACTGAAATGTGCATTCTATTGTACACTACAGTTCTTGTCTCCCTGATTGGCTCGAAATTTCACTCAGGTACTGTATTGTTGAAGTTCTTTCATTGTACAAGATTTCAGGTCGTGAAGGCTTGGAAGAAGGGTACCAGCGAGATCGTTGCGATAAAAATTCTAAAAAAGCACCCGAGCTATGCAAGGCAAGGGCAGATTGAGGTTTGTGGTCTAAAAGAAGTCCGAGGAAATATTTTTCTAAACATCTTTCTTTCAACATGTTTTCACTTCAGGTTTCAATTCTGTCGCGGCTCAGCAACGAAAACGCCGAAGAGTTCAATTTTGTGCGCGCATTCGAGTGCTTTCAGCACAAGCATCACACCTGCCTCGTTTTCGAAATGCTTGAACAGAACCTCTACGATTTTCTCAAGCAGAACAAATTTACACCTTTACCTCTCAACAGTATTCGTCCAATAGTTCAGCAGGTATGCTATAACTGTCAGCCGCGATGTTGTGTCCACCTCACTTTGTAGAACTTGGATAGCTGCTGCTTACTGAATTCTCTTGTGCTAGAAATTGTTGGACTTTGAAGCAGAGCAACTGTGTTTTGAAGATTTAAGATCTCTCACTTTTTCAGGTTCTAACTGCTCTCCTCAAACTAAAGTCCCTTGGCTTGATTCATGCTGATCTCAAACCCGAAAATATCATGTTGGTTGATCCGACTAACCAGCCATTCCGAGTGAAAGTTAGTTTTACCTTTCAAATTAGAACTTGTCATCAATGTTACTTAGCAACGTCGTTCTAGGTAATCGATTTTGGATCGGCCAGTCATAGAAGTAAGGCTGTAACCAATACATATCTTCAAAGCAGATACTACAGGTGCAACTTTTAGAAAACACTTTGTTTGGTTCTGA